ACATTTGAAAATTGCAATGAAGGGCTTTGCAGGGAGATGGGGTTAAAGACAACGAACGGTCGTAATTGGCGCATAGCTATTAACACTCTCTTAACAATAGATTCAAAAAGTGAAAGCTCGCCTCTTATTTTATGAATACTTGTAGCTGTGCATTATGTGCCTGAAATATGACTCAAATGGACATGGTTCCTCCCACAGCTGTTGTAATGTCAAAACTCAAAGCAGTTGCGAGGAGAACCTGGTTTTAAAAGTGTAAGCGAAATACTTAGATTGCGCTTTATTACTTTTTCTCGATGTATTTTAAAATTTTTTTTCACGTTCTGTCTCACATTTTGTTTAGTAAATGTAACGTCAGTGAATGGTGAGAGGCGTTTATCAAAAGGAGCTACATGCATAATAAATGGAGAGGTGATGTTAAGTTTCAAAGACTTGTCTGAACGTTTACTCTATATCTCGTCCTCGGAGACCCAGGGGCTACTAGCCGGGACGAAGCGATGTTTTCGGGCGAGCGATATCTTCGAGCGAAAGTTTACTCCAAGAGCTGAAGAGCCCCTGGGAACTTTTTGTTACCTAACCAGTTCCAGAAGTGGTCGAATTCTGTCCCGCTGATTGGCCAGAAAAATATTTTTCTGGCCAATCAGCGAGGAGGTGCAGCCGGGTAACTCTGTCGCCTTCTTACACGAAGTGGTTTTCTTCATCGATCGACCTGCTTGGACCGTACAGCGGGAAGATTCTCGTGGAGAGTTTCAGAAAAAAAGATTCAACGAAGCCGAGGAAATCGCAAGCCAACATGGGGGCTAGGAAGCAATACTCTTCCATCAATTTTCTCGGCGGATTTATCGAAGGTATATCGTAAATTTTTATAGCTAATATACCCGATTTCTACACTGTTGTTTTTGGTTACGGGGAGAGCTAGTCGTATGCATGAGCTTACATATTATTTCTCCTCGATCGTTTTACAACTTCTGAAACTCTCCACGATGTGCATTGCGCGGGTCACGCAACTATGTCGACCGAACGTGGGAACGATCGGCTAATTACAGTGCACGCACTTTCTTGCTATCGCCAAACCAAAATGCAACTTTAGTT